GCATTTATTATAATTAAAACCCATGTGCCATTTATTTGCCCAACTATTAAATGATCTAAATCAGCAGCATCCTCTTCACGGCTAGCAACACCCAAGACTTTAATATCCTCTGCAAATTTAAATAATTTATTGACTATTTATGTGACATTAATCCTCCAGTTTGGCTGAACTCCATTTGTAGCACCCCCCCCCTGCTTTCTTCCATCCAGCCACTCTTCTATCCAATTTATTAACTGATCCTCCACACCTCTAGAGTTAATTTTTTACGAGTCATCCTTCTATTAAGATAGAAAAATATTTAAAAAACTGGCGATTATTCTACCTATTATTTAATTTTGTTACTTTCGTCGCGTGTGCAGTTTTAACTACATTCATCTGGACATCCTAAACAATGCAACACTTACAGCACTCTGAAAGTTTTACAGAAGTGGACTTTTGCTCTCTTTCAACATTACATGGCGCTTTCCGACACTGCTAGGGACTGTTACGGACAGTAACAGTAACATTACGACACTGTTACGGACTCATTTCCAGACAATGATATGGATCTGCTGTTGTGGTTGGTCCAACATCTTAATTTGAACCATATAAAACCAATTTGTGACGCTCAACACACACACACACAGAATCTCTGTGCAATGACTTTTACGTTACATTATGAATGGCGAGCTAGTCTTCAAATGATATATCACAAACTTGTTTTAAGTATTGGCTAAAGGGTACAACACTCATCCAAACCAAACGAGGTACTACATGTTATTAATCATGGACTCTGTATTCCAAATATAATTGTGACATAGATTGCATACACTTTTAGCGATATAGTATATACAGTTTGTTAAGGCCCAACAAATCCGCGTTTTTAGCATGCTCCAAGTATTTTTATATACAAAACAGTGATTATATGTTGTGTCTAATAATTGTATGAAGTCGTTTAAAGGTAATGATGTAGCCATATTATGGTTATTCTGAATAAATAATGGGTAAGAGCAAGGGTATTTCTGACTTTCAAAGGAGCGTGAGTGATTTCTTTCACTTGGTGGAAACAAAATTAAATAAGACTATTTGTTTGACTAGTTATTCAAAGGAATTTATCATAAGAGTCTGTCAAAAAGCGTAATCAAAGAGGAATATATTCTGACTAGGGAAAAATGTGATTGTTAAATGCAGGTGACTGATCAAAAAAATGTGTAAAGTGTAATTCGCATTAGACTATATCCCATTTGAGTAATTTATTCAAAGTAGTCAAAGTTATCACTGTACTACGAGAAGGCCATTACAAAAACTGTTTTGAGGCAGCCAACAACCAGTCAAACGCTGCTTATCTCGGGTACAAAAACAACAACATAGCCTCAATAATATTTAGAGTGCAAACTGTGATAGTGAATGACCGGAGATATGCATGTGAAGTGGTCTGATGAGTCACTTTCACTCACTATGATATTGACTGTAGAGTAATAATACAGAAAAAAACATGAGGACTTACTTGTTTTGCCTCGACAAGTTTCATGGAGTGAGGTGAAAGTTCTAGTGAAAAACACTTGGTTCGATGAATTTTTAAGAGTGGTGAATAAATTCAGGATGTAAATGAACATTGTTGCTGAGCATTTCCATTCCTCAATACTGCATTTCTACTCTGATGAGCAATGTTTCTTCCATAAGATAATGCATTAACCCACCATGATTTTTGAATATGAAGAAAAGCTATTGATTTTCAATACAGGCTAAAAAAAAGTACACAGTTGTGGATAATTCACTCATAAAATCTCTTGATTTTGTTTCTCAGCAAATATCTAATCCACCCCCCCCCCCCCCCACCCACCACCACCATAGATAATAACCCTACAACTGGGGTTAATTTTGTACAACGTATTTAAAAATTTAACTTTCAGTCCAATTTCATTATAGCGTATCAAGCAATGCATGATAAACATTAGCATTCTTTGATGGGTTACCGTAAACATGGGTAAAAAAAAGTTTGATGTTTAGAAATTAAATAAGGAAGAATATATTTGTGAATTATTCACAACCGTTTGTTTGATTTTTAAGCTTGTATTAATATCAACTTTTCAAAGTAACATATCAAATTGGTGAATAACAACGTTCATTTGTGGTCTATTGATTTGTCTGTTTTCGTTTTCAACGAGATTATATTGCATTGACGATTCGTCACTTTGTTTCCGAATACAAGAACATTTATCGCCAATTCTGTCTAATATTTTAAACATCTACTACACCTAGTTAGTTAATGTGAGAAAGAAGCAAATGAAAAATTAACTTAACATATCGTGTTCTTAAAAAAAAAGAATAACTTAGAATTAAAGAGTATCTGAATTAAGAAGTTATAGCTTGAACTTAA